CTGGGGGAAAGTAAGTGAATGTCCTCTCAACATGAGGTTAACTTGAATAATAAGGTAATCCCACCTGTAGCTTTGAACATGAAAGGATGTGTGATTACCTAAAGCAGCATCAGGACTGTTTAGCATATGATAGCTATGTGATTTTAACATGATGATTCAGGCCCTCTATGGGACAGAGATACATATGACAACAAGCATGGATGCACGAGGCCGACTGTGCTGTGAGGAGTGTGGGTCGTCTTTCAACCAGAAGGTTGGTTCCGAGTCCCACCCATGCAGTCAATATGTGAGTGTATGCCTTGCCAAGATACTTAACCCTGAGTGCCCCGATGGCATGGCCAACGGTTGTGACATGTCTGTGAATGTTAGGGGTCCCAGAGAGACGGTACACCTGCTCTGTATGAATGGGTTTGAATGGTGAATGACATGTGTATGTAAAAGGCGCCTTGAGGGTGCTTAAAGCGACTGGATAAAGCGCTATATAGAGTATCAGTCCATTTAACCATTTACCATATCAGTGTCTGACGGGAGCTAATCTGAAGTAAACAAACATTGAATGTCAGGAATTTTGGAGATTTGAGAGAAAGTCAGAGATTTTTGAGAGAAAGTAATGAATTTTGAGATTTTGGAGAAAAAGACAGAATTGTTGAGATTTTAGAAAAATATATACCGGTAATGTTCGGGGCTATACAGGCGCGCCTTTTTTCCCTATTTTTCGACGCTGCGCTTAGTATACGGGCACGGGTGCGGCTAATCTATGGATTGTTTCACACAAGCTAACGGCCAGGCACCTTTAACTCTATGGGCTCTAATGCGCGGGTGTCCGCGGGACCGCCCCACGCCTTTAAGGGCGACGGGTCTCAGCGAGGAAAAGGCTGGAGGCCCGGAAAAGAGTGAGACAGGTAGGCGGCGCAACGGCAAGGTAAAAGTGAACCGAAGAGTGGTAGTGGCCGCTGCGTGAGCGCTTATATTCAGGTGCGCCGTAGGTAGTCCGAAAATTGACGGGTAATTATGGAGAGTTGTTGGAGAAATTATATACAGAAGTTTTGAGAAATCTGAGAAAAAAAAGTCTGAAGTGTTTTGGAAAATCTGAAAGATTTTGAGATTTTGAGGAGAAAAAGGGTCGAGAATTCGCGCTGAAGAAAAAATAGCGATAATTTTGAGATTTGTTGAGAAAAATAAATAATTTTGAGATAAAAATCTGAATTTTTAGAAAAAGTCGAGGATTTTGAGAATAAGCATATTTTGGAGAGTTTTCGAAAAAATCTGAATTTGCTGAGTGATTTTGAGAGAAAGTGCAAATTTTGAGATGTTGAGAAAAATACATAATTAT